GTGCGTGCGTGCGTGCGTGCGTGCGTGCGTGCGCACGCATGTGTGTGTCACATTACACAACGATATGACCGCTACCATAACTAACATGTCACCCCTCTCCCCCTCTCCCCCTCCTCCCCCTCCTCTCCAGCGCTGAGCAGGGAGAACTCGGTGCGGAAGGAGGACGTGACGGACCGCGGCGGCACCCACCCAGCGGCCGCAGCCTCCGGCGCGGACGAGGAGGACATCGACAACCTCGTCAGCAAGTTCAAGGTCGAAGACGACGACGACGACGTCCCCAGCTCACCCGACGAAGGAAGTAGGTGCTAGAGGGCGCTGTCAGCGATGCAGGGGGCGCTGTCAGCAATGTAGGGGGCGCTCTCAGTGATGCAGGGGGCGCTGTCAGCGATGTAGGGGGCTGTCAGCAATGTAGGGGGCGCTGTTAGCAATGTAGGGTGCACTGTTAGCTATGTAGGGGCACTGTCAGCAATGTAGGGGGCGCTGTCAGAGATGTAGAGGGCGCTGTTAGCTATGTAGGGGGCGCTGTCAGCGATGCAGGGGGTGCTGTCAGCGATGTAGGGGGCGCTGTCAGCGATGTAGGGGGCACTGTCAGCGATGCAGGGGGTGCTGTCAGCGATAGGGGGTGCTGTCAGCGATGTAGGGGGCGCTGTCAGCGATGTAGGGGGCACTGTCAGCGATGCAGGGGGCGCTGTCAGCGATGTAGGGGGCGCTGTTAGCTATGTAGGGAGCGCTGTCAGCAATGTAGGGGGCGCTGTTAGCGATGCAGGTGGCGCTGTTAGCAATGTAGGGGGCGCTGTTAGCAATGTAGGGGGCGCTGTTAGCGATGCAGGGGGCGCTGTCAGCTATGTAGGAGGCGCTGTCAGCGATGCAGGGGGCGCTGTCAGCGATGCAGGGGGTGCTGTCAGCGATGCAGGGGGCGCTGTCAGCGATGCAGGGGGCGCTGTCAGCGATGTAGATGGCGCTGTTAGCAATGTAGGGGGCGCTGTTAGCAATGTAGGGTGCACTGTTAGCTATGTAGGGGGCGCTGTCAGCTATGTAGGGGGCGCTGTTAGCGATACAGGGGGCGCTGTCAGCGATGTAGATGGCGCTGTTAGCAATGTAGGGGGCGCTGTTAGCTATGTAGGGGGCGCTGTCAGTGACGCAGTTGCTGCTGTTCTGTGCCAGTGCTGCGTTAGTCAAAGTGATGTAATAAACTAGTGATTGAATAGATTAGTGACGGTTATATAAGGGCAATAAACTTAAACTACTTGTAATTATAATGGACTACACATCATGCCAAGCATCGCCACACGATGGCGCCACTCTCCGTGCTAGCGGGGCTAACGCACGCACGTTCTTGTGTTTTTAAGCGTCGCTCGGCACCATCGAGTTCTCGTTGCTGTATGACGCAGTCAACAATGCGCTGCACTGCACCGTGCACAAATGCAAGGTAAGTTACTACACTACTGCAGCTAACTACTGTTACCACTACTACCAGTGGCATAGTTAGGGGGGGGCCAAAGGGGGCCATGCCCCCCCTGTTGATCCAAAAGTAAAAATAAAAAATAAAAATATAAGAATTGTTTTACTAAAAAGAGAATTGTCCTAGTCAGAATGAAGGCTGTACATGTACTCAAAAGAGCCTCAAATACCATCTCCTGTGATCAACATTTAAAAATTCGATCACACCCAAACGCGAGCTTTGGTGTGCATGCAGACGACATCCACGAAAAAACTTTCAGTTTTCGGTTTTTGTGGCCCCCCTATGTAATATATATATATACTAGCGGGATACCCGGCGTTGCCCGGGGAAATCAGTGGCGCTACTCAGTTGGTGACCGCTTGGTTGAAAGGAAAGTACCCCAAAAAATATAACTATCTATCTATCCATGCATCTATCCATGCATGCATCCATCCATTCCATTCCATGCCATCCCATCCAATCGCACCGCACCGCATCTTATCCCATCCCATATCCCATCCCATCCCATCTCATCTCATCCCATGCCATGCCATCCCATGCCATCCCATGTCATCCCATGCCATTCCATGCCATCCCATGCCATCCCATCCCATCCCAAACAGTAAAAATAATAAGAAATCAAAAGATAAAAGACATTAAATATAAAAAATAAAAATTAAAAATAATACATACTAAAGAGGTAGGTAAAGGGAAAAAAGGAAAAAAGGGGAAAATAAGTTTCCCAGCTGGGACTCGAACCCGGAATCCCGGTGTAGGAGACAGATGTTCTAGCGATTAGGCCATACCCACTGATCTCTATTATACTAACTAGTTATCAGTGGCCATACCCTATGGATTCACACGTACGTGATGTTAATCTGTACGCACCGCCATCTATTGATGAATAGATTTTTATAAATTTTTATGAATTTTTAACTTTTTAACTTTTTTAAATTTTTGCTTAGCCAGAACCACCTCCCACACGTGCTGATTCTGAAAATATTCTTAGTTTTTCTTTAGGCTGCGGAGTTCTTTAGTTATGCGAGTACGAACTAATTCGGCTGAACAACTTTATATATATATATATATATATGTAATAACACACATGTAATGTATATCTATATGAAAGAAAGCTCATGTAATTTGCATTGCACTAGGAGTAGTAGTGTAGTGTGGTAGATGGATTAGAAGGCGGGGACGTGTGGCCCCCTGGTCCTACGGGGGTTGGTTGATGCAGGGCACTCATGCAGTAATGGGGATACATGGATGGCCCAATCGAATGTGACTGCGGGGAGGACCCGACTATGAAACATCTCCTGGAAACTACCCTACTACTGCTGCTGCTGCTACTACTACTGCTACTGCTACTGCTGCTGCTGCTACTGCTGCTGCTGCTGCTGCTGCTACTGCTGCTGCTGCTACTGCTACTGTTGCTGCTACTACTACTGCTGCTGCTGCTACTGCTACTGCTGCTGCTACTACTACTACTACCGCTACTGCTACTGCTACTGCTACTGCTACTGCTACCACTACTGCTACTGCTACTGCTACTGCTACTGCTACTGCTACTGCTACTGCTACTGCTGCTGCTGTAGCATTGACTGCTGTTATCGCTGCTGCACCTGCAGCGACTGCTCCCCGCTCCCGTCGCCGCGGCGACCATTATCGTCTGCTGTCGCACTCGCTCACGTGCGCTTCACTTGCTTCTCTCTCCGTGGAGCACTTAGCGTCCCGGCGTTTCCCCGCGCTCGCATCGCGTTCGCGCAGCTGCCCGTCGCCGTGGCAACACGCGAGGCGCGCCGACGCTGCCCTGGTGGGAGAGCTCGAAACTCCCGCTGGTCGTTGCCGTGGCAACCGGCAGCTTCCGCGCGGACGGGCAGAAGGTGAATCTATCCGAAATACAATTCTTGTCTCTGTAATTTGACAGCTTAGCGCTGTGCAGTGTGCGTGCGTGCGTGCGTGCGTGCGTGCGTGCGTGCGTGCGCGCGCGTGTGTGTGTGTTCTTATTGTTTATTCTATATTAGGGTCTGCGAGCGATGGATTCTAACAGCCTGTCGGACCCCTACGTTAAGCTGTCACCTAACCCCCTCACCCTCTCCCCTCACCACCTCTCTGACTGTATCGTGTGTTGCAGGGCCTGCGAGCGATGGATTCTAACGGACTCTCGGACCCCTACGTGAAGCTGCATCTGCTGCCGGGAGCGAGCAAGGCCACCAAGCTTCGCACGAAGACCGTGCACAAGACACTGAACCCGGAGTACAACGAGACGCTGACGTACTATGGCATCATGGAGGACAACGTCTATCGCAAGACGCTGCGGTAAGCGCGCGCGGGGGTTGCGAGGTCATGGGGTTGCAGGTGGAAGGTCGCAGGGAGGTCGCGGGGTCAGTAATTGATCCGATATTGATCAGTTATTGATCAATTATTGATTGAATTGTAGGATCACGGTGCTGGATGAGGACACGTTCACACATGACTTCATCGGTGAGACGCGCGTGCCACTGAAGCGTCTCAAGCCGCAGCAGACGAAAACATTCAACGTCTACCTGGAGAAGCAGTTACCTGTGAGTCACCGTGCACACACGCACGCACGCACGAACATGCACGCGCGCACGCACACACGCACGCACGCACGAACATGCACGCGCGCACGCACGAACACATGCACGCACGCACATGCACGCACGCACGCACGCACGCACACACGCACATACGAACATGCACGCGCGCATGCACGCACACACGCACGCACGTACGAACATGCACGCGCGCATGCACGCACACACGCACGCACGCACGAACATGCACGCACATGCATGCATGCGCGTGCACACACACGCATGTACGCACGCACGTACGCACGCATACATGGATGCACTCACAAAACCGATGTACGTACGCACGAACGCACGCACACATGCACGTACTCACGCGCACGCACACGCACACACGCACGCATACACGCGCGTACACACAATCCAAACACCAGTGCAAGCCTGACGCATTCAGCAGATCACACGCGAGAAAGAACACGTTACATTTCCTCCGCATCGGCAGCAGTCGATAATCCGGATTTTCCTGTCGAAGTTTTCGGTTTTCCGGCTAAACGGATTTGCAGCGGTGTAAGGCTAAATATTTCAGGATATTAGTAGCCACAGGTTTACCAGGGGATTACCTGCCCTAGTGGGGTTGCCTTCAGTGAAGGTTACACCGGCATTACAGGGAAATACCGACGCGAATAAATGACAAAAAAAGACATCTCCACTTCATCTTTCATCCGTTCATTTTTTCCGCCGCGGAAAGTTCATAGTTAGTTTCACTCTTCGTACATCCATATCTGCCTATATTCTGGAAACTTTTGGCAAATGTTAATTGTATCCCCCGCGACGAAGTCGGCGGGAATACTATGCTTTCATGTCTCCCCAGCCGCCGCCGCCCGCCGGCCGCACCAGACAATTCCCTTCTGCTCTATAACTCCACCTAATTTACCTAGCGCTACAAAACTTGCGTATACTTACACATCTTGGGAGAAGGAGAGCAGCCGTACCAAGAACCAGGTCACTGCGACCTTATTTGACCTTTACTTGACCGATCCTATCTTCCTCCGCTCTCTAACTCGAGCCCCTTAATCACCTAGCGCTACCAAACTGGTATACTTACACATTCTTGGGGAGAAGGTGAGCAGCGTACCGAAAACCAGGTCACTGCGACCTTATTTGACCTTTCCTTGACGGCTTCATCGGATATTCTTTCCGCGCTCTATAACATCGCCCCCTAATTGACTACGCGGGATCAACTTCGTATACGTTACACATCTTGAGGAGAACACGGGATCACATGTAGTGCGACAACTGCCCCTTTTCTAGTTAACCCTAATGTCGATTAACGCAGAGTGGCGCGGACGGATATTCGAGCAGCAGCTCGTGGGCAGCAGTTACCTCTTTCCCCCTTTAATTAATTTTTAATCATAATATTTATAATTTTGTATATGAGTAATTGTAGTTTTTTATGAATTAATTTAATTTTTATTTAAATTTTTTAAATTTTTTATGTAAATAATTTTACATTAATTAATTACTAATTAATCTCCTCTCTCTGGGCAGCTGGAGAAGGACGATGAGCTGCTCCAGCAGGGCCGTGGGAAGATTCTCATCGCTCTCCGATACTCGAACAGAAGCAGGGCTCACAGTGGGCATCGTGAGGTGCGCCCAGCTAGCAGCGATGGACTCCAACGGCTACTCAGACCCTTACGTCAAGGTGTAAGTGTCATAAAGAGAGAGGGAGAGGGGGTGGGGGAGAGAATGGTTAACGTGGTTATGTGTGTGAGAGAGAGAGACTGAGAGAGAGAGAGAGAGAGCGAGAGAGAGAGAGAGAGAGAGGAGACAAGAAGAGAGAGAGAGATGAGAGATGAGAGAGAGAGAGAGAGGCAGAGAGAGAGTAGGGAGAGAGAGAGAAGAGAAGAGAGAGAAGAGAGAGAGAGAGAGAGAGAGAGAGAGAAGAGAAATGTAGGCAGAAGAACGTGCGTCTAGCTGTAAAGTGTAATGGCATCACCTATATGGAGTGCAAGCTGACGTTACGTGTCCCCAGAATCAGTGCATGTAAATTATGTCTTTAAAATTGGCGGCCTTGTAAGCGTGGACTTTGTAGGCTCGTGTATAAGGCAACCTGTAAGTGTGTAGGTTGTAGGCTCGTATATTAAGGCACCTTGTAAGTGTGTGGGTTGTAGCTCGTATATAAGGCAGTATGTAAGTGTGTAGGGTTGTAGCTCGTATATTAAGGGCATATTGTAGTGTGTAGGGTTGGTTTGTAGCTCGTGTATTAAGCAGCCTTCGTAAGTGTGTAGGGTTTAGGCTCGTATATTAAGGCGCAGCCTTGTAAGTGTGTCAAGGGTTTGTAGGCTCGTAATTAAAGGCAGTATTGTAAGTGTGTAGGGTTTGTAGGCTCGTATATTAAGGCAGCCTTGTAAGTGTGTAGGGTTGTAGGCTCGTGTATTAAGGCAGTATTGTAAGTGTGTAGGGTTGGTTGTAGGCTCGTGTATTAAGGCAGTATTGTAAGTGTGTAGGGTTGGTTGTAGGCTCGTGTATTAAGGCATGCAGCCTTGTAAGTGTGTAGGGTTGTAGGCTCGTATATTAAGGCAGCCTGTAAGTGTGTAGGGTTTGTAGCTCGTGTATTAAGGCAGCCTTTGTAGCGTGACTGTGTAGGCTCGTATATTAAGGCATAGTAAGTGTGTAGGGTGTAGGCTCGTATATTAAGGCCAGCCTTGTCAGTGGCGTAAGGGTTGTAGGCTCGTATATTAAGGCAGCCTTGTAAGTGTGTAGGGTTGTAGGCTCGTATATTAAGGCAGCCTTGTAAGTGTGTAGGGTTGTAGGCTCGTATATTAAGGCAGCCTTGTAAGTGTGTAGGGTTGTAGGCTCGTATATTAAGGCAGTATTGTAAGTGTGTAGGGTTGGTTGTAGGCTCGTATATTACAGTATTGTAAGTGTGTAGGGTTGGTTGTAGGCTCGTATATTAAGCTGACGTGTTGTAATTAGAGCTGCTTTGTCGCTGTATTCGCAGGTACCTGAAGCCGGATGAGAAGAAGAGCTCAAACACAAGACAGTTTTTACTTGCAAAGAAAAACGCCCGCTCAAACCCAGAGTTCAACGAGGTATGTGTCGTGCGTGCATGTGCATGTGTGTGTGCGTGTGTGTGTGCGTGCGGTTGTGCGTGCGTGAGTGCGTGCGTGCGTTTGTACACGTGCGTGCGTGCATGTGCGTGTGTGCACGTGCGCGTGCGTAAGGGAGGTCAGGATGATCTCTACAAAACACAGATCTTCTGTCGCCACCCCCCCGTGTTGCCGCGGTTACGTAATGCATCGAGGCGTGCTGATGCTCTCTTGTTTCTCGCAGGAGTTTTTCTATGACTGCAAGCTGAACGATCTCGCCAAGAAGACTCTGGAGGTGACGGTCTGGGACAAGGACATCGGACGCCAGAATGACTACATCGGTATACTACCTTATACTAAGTGATAAATGAATGATTGAGCAGTGATTGATAAGTGATAAATGAATGATTGATGAGCGAGGCTTTCTACTCGCTTGAAATCGTGGTTAGGTGGCACCCTGACCGCCATTACAATGGAAGTTACTGTATGGGTCGTGTGTAAGTACCGCCTAAAGCTGGGGTTTACACTATTGACTTTATGTTGGCGATTTGGACCAATTTCCGAACTATATAACCGACAATCGGCAGTGTAAACGCAGAAGTCGCGCGAGCAACTGGTTGATAGCAACTAGTTGGGAGATTAGAACATGTTCTATTTTCGCCAACTCGGTGTTGCAGAATTGCGAAGTTGGTCCAACTCGCCGATTTTCCAACATAAAGTTGGTAGTGTAAACCCAGCTTAACTGTCGTTGTGCTGCCCCGTGTTACAGGCGGCCTGCAAGGGCGAGCGATTGAAGCACTGGTTCGATGAGTGATTGCTGAATGATCGAGCAGTGATTGATTAGTGATCGATGAGTGATTGGAAAGTGATTGGAAAGAGATTGATTAATGATCGATGAGTGATTGATAATTAAGTGATTGACGAATGATCAAGAAGTGATTAATGAGTGATCGATTAGTGATTTGATAAGGCATTGATGAATGATATCCTTTCTATTCGTGCGACATCATGGTTACATGGCACCCTGACTGCCATTACGACGAACGTTACTGTATAGTCGTGTCTAAGTGCCGCCTGACTGTCGTTGTGCTGCCCCGTGTTACAGGCGGCCTGCAACTGGGCATCAACTCCAAGGGCGAGCGATTGAAGCACTGGTTTGAAACGCTGAAGAACCCGGACCGACGGCAGGAGCGATGGCACACGCTCTCCGATGAGGTGCTAGTCAGCGAAACCTAACTCCGCCGCCGCCGCCGCCGCCGACGTCGACGCCGCGACCCCCCCGATGCCAGCGCCCCCTAGCCTCCGCTCGTCCCCTTGGGTGCCTCTCTCCGGCTGTGGTGCCGCGATCCCTTGATGTTGGCGCCCCCTGGCGATCGCTCGTCCCGTTGGGCGCCTATCTTTGGGTGCGGTGCCGCGATCCCTTGATGTTAGCGCCTCCTGGTGTCAGCTCGTTCCCTTGGGTGCCTCTCTCCGGGTGCAGCGTAGCGACCCCAGATGTTGGCGTCCCCTCGTGTCCACTCGTCCACGGGCGTTTCTCTTCGGCCGCCGCACCGTTGCAATGGGATCCTCTTTCCTAGCTCGCGGAGGGAAGCGCGGGGGGGAAACTAGATCTCTTTGGGAGGAAGACCGCCTGGGGGAGGGAGACCGCCTGGGGGAGGGAGTGTGTGTGTGGGGGTCGTGTCTCGGTTCACACGGAGAGAAGCGCTCGCGAGATCGGCGTCCATGGCAACGCTCATCGCCGTGGCGACATCCCTCGCGTTAGTTGTTTGCAGGAGACCTAGAACGTCTGTGTCATTGTAGGCAACTCGGAGGCAACTCTTTAATTACCTACAGGTGTGGGATGAGGTGTGGGGACAGGTATCAACGAGGTATTGCAACAGATATTAAGTAGGCATTGTCGGGTGTTAACAAGGTATAGTGACAGGTGTTAATGAGGTATAGTGACAGATATTAACGAGGCATGGTGACAGGTGTTAACAAGGTATAGTGACAGATATTAACGAGGTATAGTGACAGATATTACCGAGGTATAGTGACAGATATTAACGAGGCATGGTGACAGGTGTTAACAAGGTATAGTGACAGATATTAA